CAGCGGTCTTTCAAAGCCGAAGGCCCCGGGTTTCTTAAAGTGTCATTCAGAGTTAGTAAGCATGAAACCAGGAAGCTCTAGCAGCCTTTTGGAGTACAGCAATAAAAGTAATAATGTGCCAGTCTCAATTTCACCTCCGAAGCTAAAATATTATTTTACCAACATCTATGTGCTTGGAAAACCTAGAGCTGGATCTGAAGCTTAGGGTTTATTGGCTTGCTTTTCAAGGACGTGTTTGACTAATTTGAGGAAACTGGTTCCTTATTGCTAAGCTAAGTTATATGAAATATGAACTGCCTTGCTCCAAGCTGGGAATAACAGACACCACCTATGACTTATTTTTTATAACTACTTGGCACAGATCGCTGTGACCTGTGTTTGCCTGTAAATATGCATCACTTCTTTTCCTTCAACAAAGGATTATTTCCAAGAGGTATATCACTTTAAGAAGGAAGGTGTTCTAGATAAAGCTGAGACATGAACACCTTATCAGCCATAGCTTCAAGCAGGCTGCTCTGGGGGCAAAATAATTCATCTGATAGCACTAATGAGTACTCTGCACCATGGGAACAAGTACTTATCAATGATTTTCTACAGCAGAATTCTCCGACTTTCTTGTTTATTTTACTTATTCCTCTTTTTGTGCCATTCCTGATATTACCTTACAGTTTCTACAGAGTTACGGGCAATGATGAAGATGCTTCAGGGAAAGAGAAGGAAAATTAACTATAACAGAGATTTTTTTTAAGACACAGTCTCTCTATATAGCTCAGGCCGGCCTCAAACTTACAATCCTCCTGTTTCAGTGCTGAAATGACAGGTGTCTGCTGACACATTTATCTAGGAGAAAAGATTTCTTATGAATAAAATCTATATTCTTCTTGTGCTTCCTCATCAGAGAGGGAAACAAAAATAGAAGCTCTGCCCAGGAACCAAGTGCTAAAGATGGTAAGTAGCTGGAGAGACCAATGCATTTCATTTACTGATTGCTCTATTACTTTTTAAGTAAGAGTTCAAAACCACAGGTTTCATCATGACATTTTCCTAGCTCTACACCTCACCTTACTCGTATTCACTGCCCCTGCCCTGGGGGTCCTCCTCCTCTTAAATAATCTACTTCATGTCACAAATGCATGTGTACACACATACATGCTTTAAACCTAGATTTCACAAATAAGAAACACATGGTATTTTTGTCTCCCCTGACTACTCTCTCTTTTAGTCCTTCCTCTCCCCTCATTGTCCCCTTTCATGTTCATGTCATAGATACATGTATATATTATATTCAGTGTCTGGCATATTTTATTTAACATGATGATACCCAGTTCTATTCATTTTCTTCTCAATGACATAATTTCATTCTTTATAGCTGAATAAAATTTTATTACACACACATATACACAAATCTTTCTATATGTATCTATGTTTATCACACTTTCTGTGATGGGTGTCAACATAACATGATTTATCATGAATAGTGCAGCAATCAACATGAATGTGCAGGTCAGCATCTTTGTGCTATGTTGACTTTGATTCTTTCAAGCATCTAACCAGATTAATATAGCTGGATGATACAGTTGTTCTATTTTCAGTTTCTGCAGAACCTCAACAGTGATTTCTGTAGGGGCTGCACCAGTTTACATTCCCACCAGCAGCATGTGAGGGTCCCTCTTTATCTGCATACTTGCCAGCATTTGTTGTCATTTATTTTCTTGTTGATAATCCTTCTGACTAGACTGAGATGGAATCTCAATGCAGTTTTAATTACATTTCCTTGATGACCAAGGATGTTAAACAGTTTTTCAAATACTTTTTGGAAATTTGTAGTTCTTTGGGGAACTATCTGTTTAGTTCATCTGCACATTTATTGATTGGGTTATTGGGTTTTTGCTGTTTAAATTTTGAAGTTCTTTACAGATTCTAGATATGAATCCTCTGTCAAATGCATAGCTAGCAAAGATTTCTTTTCCATTCAGCAATCTGTGTCTTCACTCTACTGATTGTTTCCTTTGCTGTATGGATCCTTTTGACTTCATACAATCCCATTTGTCAGTTCGTAGGATGACTTTTTGTGCTTCTGAAGTCTTTTCCATAAAGTTCTTGCCTGTGCTTTTATCTAGATATATTTTCCCTGCTTCCAACTAGCAATTTCTGGGATTCAAATCTTACATCAAGGTCATTGACACATTTTGAATTGATTTTTTGTTTTTGCTGTTTTTGAGACAGGGTCTCTCTGTAGTCCTAGCTGGCCTGGACTAAAGGCATGCGCTACCACACCTGGCTTTCTTCAGTATTTGAATTGTAAAGTTTTTTTTTTTTTTAACCTCCTTGGTTTGTTTTATTCCTAAAGGCCGAGCTTACCTTTGCAGTCTGTGAGCCAGGCAGATTCTTCCACTGTCCTAAGACTCCTCTATTAGCCTGGAGTGACTAATGTTCTAGCTGGTGTGCCTCCCAAATGTCATGAAAACGGAGAAGCGAAGACAGCACTGAGATCTGTATAGGTGGTTTTGTCTCCGTGCTTTCAAAATCTGATAAGCATGAATCCTCCCTTTGAAGGGATGTGGCTGTAAAGGGCAAGTAGACCACTAGAGCTTCAGATTTCATAGTCTCTACAGCAGTGAACTACTCAGCAGATAGCTCCAGACATCAATCTACACACTGTCCTCAGGCTTAAGGGTATCAAACTCCAAATTTACCTTCAATTATTTCTTCTTTTAGCCACCAAATAAGGGGTTATCTTTCTACACTTCGCTGCTTGATCTGAGCCTCCTGCTGCCTACACTTTTGGCTTGTCAGTATCTAGCCTCCCCCTCCTAAGACTGCCTCTCTCGCCTCTCTAAGACTGCCCCCCATAGCCATCTCTTACTTGGGGTTGTAGCAGATCTCCAACTTTTGATTGTTTCCTATTATCCAGCTTCCAAGCTATCTCAGTTTTAAACAGCAGATTCCCCTGCAAGATGGCTCCTAGCTACAAACGTATGAGTCATGCAGAATGGCAGAAAGGAATTTCTTTCTACTCACTGGCCTGTCTTGCCTGAAGAGTCTCTGTCCCATCAAAATCTGCAACTGTGCTTGCACAAGATCAAGCCAGTCAACATTCTAGCATGGGCAAGAGGAAGGGTTCACAAACCCCATCTTTTTAACTGTGGAGCTACAGATAGTCGATGAATTCTGGGGGGTCAGTATTCTTTAACGATCTGATCCCTGGTAGGCCAACCGTGCTCCAGTGGATGACCCCACATCCAGGAATAAATGAGCATCATAATTTGGATCAATGGGTTATTTTAAAACAAGAGGACAAGAATTTGGGGGTGTAAGGAGGTGAGGATGGATCCAGGATGAGTTATGGGGAGGAGTCAAGGGTGAATATGACCAAAATACATTCTGTGAAATTCTCAAAGAATTAATAAACATTTCTTTTAAAATCTGAAACTAGACTTGAATACACCATCTTATCCTTTCCTGTGTGATGACTAGATGTCAATGGCCAAGGAAACCTTGAGAGCCACATCTTTAGGATGATGGAAGTTTTGTCAGCCTGGGTCCTTGGATGAACATGGAGTAAAGACTCTTCTTCCACCATTTACCCCCCTCTCATGCAAAGCCTGTTGAACTTCATATGAGGGAGATGCAGTTGGAAAGTTTCAGTATGTTAACTAAATCATGAAGCTAGTGAGTGACAGAACTGGGATATGAAGCCAGTTCTTTTTGCTTCCCTCTGTAATGAATAGAACTGAATGAATGAACTACAGAAATTACATCCTTCCACATGAACCGCTTAAGAAACAAAGGTACCCAAGGAACATATAATTTAGACATTTTTCTTTCTGTTAATCCCTATGCCACTAAACACAGTCAATTATATTGTGTTAGCTGATTCATGCTGAGTTTTCACCATTTATATTGATCTTCCAGGATGATAATAACGAAGCAAAAGAGTCTGTAGTTGGTGCAAGACTTCCTGCCAAAGCCATCCGGTTATTCTATGACACTAGACTGACATTCTAGTCAGACTGCAACTCATCTCACTGCCTCTGAAAGCCATTCTTGGCCTGTCTTCCCCAACTTAGGTAAATACACGTGCCACTGAATGGCAACTTCCAGCCTCTATGCTCAATAACCATCTGCTGGTGCAGTAATCATACCTTAAGATGTCTGGCCTGCAAGATGAGCCATTTCCCTTATCTCACCAACCCCTTTGCAAGGAGGGATATTAGAAAAGAACATTTTGAATCATCCAGCTATATGACTTTTTTCAAAGCAACACGATTCAAATTAAAAGAGTATAGCAAGAGTATTTTAAAGAAATATGCAAAGATAAACAAGAAGAAGCCAGAGGAGGATATCTGTGCAAAATAAGCCATTGAATCTGAACATCTCTGTGTTTATTTGACTTGTCTTTGTTAACTGAAACCTTTAAAAAAATATTTTATTTATTTTTATGTGTATGCATGTATTGCCTGAAACCTTTTTAAAAAATCATTAATCCCTTCTACTTACACAGAGCTGATCCGGTGGGCAGAGCCTGAGGTTATTGACTGATCAGACCAGGCTCAAGGGTCATCTGTGTACTCAGAGTTCTGAGCAAAAGGCAATTGCATGTTATCAGTTCTCCATGAAACTTTGGGGCTGAGTCCAGATCATTAATGGTTTGTTACCTCAGGATGTCACAAGGGTCACTTTTAAATCAAGGAGAGAAGATTAGAGATATTTGTGTCTTGTCAGACTTTAAAGAAACCTTTTAAAAAGAAAGGCTTACAAGAAGAAGAGTTGGGGTGGGCAGAATCCCAGGGCTCTTCCAGGGCTCTCTGCCCCTTAGGCCTCCTTCTAAGGCAAATCAGCACTCTCAAAAGCCTGTTGATACCCTAGGGGGTTCAGGGCACTCTGGGTTTGGGCTACTTTGAGTATGTTCAACCTTTCCTCTCATGTCACTGAACTGTGCTAGATCTGAACTTTAGAGCATTGACCTATAAGCAAATAGATAATGTTCTGGAAAAAGTCTGATTTCTGTTCAATGCTTTATTACGATGAGAACTGAAGTTGGAAAGGGGTGTGAAACTGACTTTCCACAGTGGAGATCCTTGCTTCACTTGGCTTGCTCAAATTCACATTTGTAGGTAAGTGATTGGTTTTTGCCTATAGCATTTTAAGCCTGTGGTCTCCAAGTTTGTTTCTTTTAAATCTCAGTTTGTGGAACATTGTGTTTCATATTTACCAAAAGCCCATCTTGTCCTGTGATAAGCAATGCTGTAGTGCTTGGGTAGAGACTTGAAGATGCACTACTGATTTCCTGATATTGTGTACAATACTGATGTCTTGGTTGCTGTCTTATTTCAAAGCAATTGTGTGTACTGCCTGTCTTGAAAATGTGTGTGCGTGTATGTGTGTGTGTGTGTGTGTGTGTGTGTGTGTGTGTGTGTATTGAAATAGCTGCCCAAAGTAAAAATGGTGAGCTGCTTTTTAAACTTGGCTTTATGAAAGCATAATTCTGCTTGAACTAATCACAAAGTCCCAACTCTCTTCAGAGTAACTTCTAAAGTTTAAATTTGATCATATTCATCTCTTGCCAAAAACCCTTTATTAGCCTTCATTGTTTTGAGGATAAAACCCAAATCCGCAGTGTTAAAGATCACGAGGAACCAAGGAATCAACCTGCAACTCCAGAGCTGGCCCAGTGGTACCCTTCAGTCCTTGTCCCTGTTTAGTTCCTCAGGTCTGGGTCTTCCATGTGCTCTTTCCTGACAGGAAATATCTTCCCGTGTCTACCTTGCCCTCCTCTTCAGGATAAATTCATGGTAAATATGATCACCCATAGTTTTCCCCAGCTTCCTAACAGGAAAGTTCTACTCCAGGGTCCAGAGGTGCCCAGGTTTCACCTAACATCATCACACCTACAACTTCTCACGGATTATCCATCTCTGTCCACCCCAGAAGCTCCGTGAGGGTAAAGGTGGCTAAAGGGCTATTTCTCTAGACAATATTTTAGTTGAAAAATCACATCCTTGAGGATTTCATGCTGTACTGAACTGAGCTCATGGTACTAAAGTGGGAGGACTCACAGTATAGATGGATTTTCTGTAAAGGACTGGAGGATAAATGTTAGCATTGGGGACAAGGAAAACCATAGTTTATGTTATAGCTACTCAGTGCTCATATTATAATATAAAAACAACTAAAAACAATAAAAATGAATTAATGTAAAACTATGTTCCAATAAAACCATGATTCAAAAGAATAGGCAGTGGGCTGACTGCCTCTACTGCAGGAGAAGCCTTTTGCCTGAAAGGATTCCAGCTTCTAAGATCCCCTTTCTCAATCTTTCCTTCCTTCTTAATTTTTTTTTTTTTTTTGCATTTTAAATTTATTTACCCCCCCCCCCACCTCCATGGCATGAGTGTGGAGGTCAGAGGACAACTTTTAGGAGTCCATTCTTTCCTTCTACCATGTGGAACCCAGGGGTTGAACTCAGGTTATCAGGTTTGATACCTAGGTGCTGAGTCATCTCGCTGGTCCCCATGCATTCTTAAGTCAGAAAGTGTTATGGAAACAGACACATCTTTCAGGTTCTGTCAGACAAATCTGTTTATCATTGAAAACTAGACTTCCACCACTTTTCTAGGGTTCCAAAGACTAGCAGAGATATTCTCTGGGACCTACTATAAGAGTGTTCCAGGATTTTGTCTGAGTCAGTGAAAACATGGTGTAATGACAGATCAGTCTCATTCTACGTTGTAATGGTATGAGGCAATTCATCTAACATCTGATTCTAAAGCATTTTATGCTCTGGACAAGATCACAAGAAAGGCCTTCACCTAGTCTTCCTAGTAATCTTGGTTTTTCAGTGTACTTTCCCACTCTTTTTTAAAAAAATATTTTATTTATTTTTATTTTATGGGCATGAATTGCCTGCATGTAGGTAAGTGCACCTGTGTCGTGCAATGCCCACAGAGGACAGAAGAGGCCATCAGATCCCATGGAACTGGAGTTATGGACAGTTGTTAGCTGCCATGTGGGTGCTGGGATTCAAACCCAGGTCTTCTGCAAGAACAACCAGTGTTCTTAACCACTGAGCCATCTCTCCAGCCCCCCAACTTTCCCACTCTTAATGTTATAAAATCTTCTTGTCTTTGTGGTCTGCAATTAAAAATATCGATACAATGGCCTTCAGACATCATCCCTTCCCTGATTGAGCTACTCAGAGATCAGGACAGTAGCTTCTGGTTCTGACAGAGAAACTGATGAATGTCTTTATCCCTGGAGAGCATGCATCTTCTAAAATAGCTCCTTGGTAGTAAAAAAATAATAGGACTGTGTAGTTTAGAGTGATGGTGAGAAAAAAAACCCAAACAGCCTCTGACACTCTAGCTAAGCTGTGTTATTCTACTATTAGACATAAACAGCCCTGTGGTGTACTAGCCTCAGACAACACACTCCTAGACCATACATAGCAGGTGAAACCACACTACACGAGGCCATAACAGTCTTACCATGAAATGCCAAGCACCAATGACTGCTATTTCTTTACCCATCGTAAAACTGCCCCAGATTTTTAATTTTTTCATTTTTAATAGAAGTTTTGTGATTTTCATACAATACAGTTTGATGGCATTTAGATCTGCTCTACTCCCTGAACCTCCCCCCAATGCCTCCCACCCAATTTAATGACTATATATATATATATATAGAGAGAGAGAGAGAGAGAGAGAGCATGATTTGTGTCCCAAAATATCCTTCAATGTGGATCCATTCATTGGCCCACAGAGTCCCAACCCTGTAAGACACTGTCTTTCCCCTTCCCGACAGTCATTAATTGCCAAAACTTCTTTAGGCTGGGTTGGGCTTTTTTTTACCTACTTCCCCATGTCTATGCTGGGATTTTTGTCTAATTTGAGTTTGCACAGGATTTTTGAATGTTGACACCATTGCTGTGAGTTCATATGAGTAAATGATCAGCTGTCTGAAAGACACTGTTTCCTTGTAGTCTTCAGCCCCCTCTGGCTTTCACAATCTTTCTGCCACCTCTTCTGAAATGATCCCTAAGCTTTGAGAGGCAGAGGTTTGAAATAGCTTCCTATTCAGAGATAAGCACTCTGTGGTCTCTTGTTCTCTACATCTAATCTAGAGCAAACTCTCTCTTCCTTAGACCCTTCCTCATCTGGTCTAATGAAAGCCCAAGTCCCATCATAGGATCTTTCTAACACCATCTTACTGAGATGCTCGGTGGCCCACTTATGTGCTCTCCTTTGTGGCACTGAGTGTAAACTCAACTCCCTAGTGTCTTTGGCTGAAGGACATGAATGATAACTGGGTGTCAGTGATAACTATGGACATTGAAACTCATGTTTTTCTTAAATTTTGTCTTTGAGAATGTTTATTTTTCATAGTAAAAAAAAGATCACAGAAATAATTTGTGAGACTGCCCAGAAAGAAGCAAAATGTATGCAAGTGAAACCCTATGTGCAGGATTACTAGGGGGATAGAACTGAATAGTGAATTCATCTTCATAGAAGATGGTTTCCAAAGGTTCCTGAAAGGCAGGGTGAAGGAGGGAGCAAGGGAACTAGGTGTTGACGTGTGAAAGCAAAAGGACCTTTAGACAGCTTCCTTTGTGGATTTTACCACCATCCATCCCGCCAATTTGAAAGGTGGGCTGATCAGGACCCAGAGATGAATTTAAAAACATGCCTGGGGCTGGAGAGATGGCTCAATGGTTAAGAACACTGGCTGTTCTTGCAGAAGATCTGGGTTCAAATCCCAGCACCCACATGATTATGGGCGTGTGCGGGGATCTTGGGGAGCACCAGCTGCTGGGCGTGGCGCCGGTCTCCCACACGTCGCTGGAGTGCAGCGGGTTCACGGGCCGCGTCTGCTGTTCAGGTCCCTGGCTCTCCACCGCTGGGGTGCGCGGGTTTCGCACACCGCGTTGCTGAGGGTCTCTGCTACCGGAGCTGGCGGCTCTAGGACTGCTGTCAGCTGCCCGGTAGGGTTCTGTTTCAATTTCCACCTTGCACTCCCTCTAAATTTGAGACCCATTGGCCACCAGGTCACGAGGGGAGGTGCGAGAAACGGCAAAAGCAGGGTCTCCGTGAGTCATGGTTTACGAAGAGACAGCCCTCTCCGGAGAGACTGGATCGTAGGCAGTAAGACACAGAACTCAGCTCAGTACCGCTCCTTTATTCAGTGACTCAGCTCCGATTAATTAGGGGAAACCAGGATATTTTATACTGTGGGGGCAGTGGCAAAACCTTAGTTGGTAGGTGCTTTTAGGATGCCTCATTTACATGTGGTGGTGGGCTCCTGCCAGGCTGCCAGACATTGTCTGATTATCACACAGGAAAACCTGGCAGTTCCTATGCCAGAGGCCATGTTTTTGGTAGGGCATCTGTGGTGGCCACTTCAAAAGGTGAGTCAAGAAGAGAGGTAGGAGGCCCCCTGCTGAAAAGAGGAGTCTTTCCATCAGGTGCAGAGCTCCTTAGAGCTATCTGGACATGGAAGACTGCGACCCTCACAGCAGGATTCCCCAACACATGATAGCTAACAACTGTCTGTAACTCCAGTTCTAGGGGATCTGACAGCCTCCACAGGCATTGCACAACATGGGTACACTTACCTACATGCAGGCAATACACGCATACACACGTAAAATAAAAATAATAAGTAAAATATTTTTTAAAAACATACCTATAAGCAGAGGCAGAAGAAGGGGGATCACGGCAAGTTAGAGACCAGCCTGGTCTGTATAGTGAGTTTCAGGCTAGACTAGAGCCACTAGTAAGAACCCATGTCAACCCCCACTTCACCCTCAATCCAAAAATTTAGTGGAACCACAGGCAGCATGCAGGGCTGGGCAGCTCCAAACCTGGAGGAAAGGCACTGCACTGTCGGCCTCCAAACACTGCTGAAGATGTACGTAGCAGTAGAAAGAAGCTTAAAAATGAAGGAGTGAGCTAGGAAAAGATGGCTGGAGACTGAATAACAAAAGAACAGGTCTTGCTGGACTCAGGGGCCCCAGCCCTCACTGCCCAACTATTTGTTACAGGTCAATTTAGGGTGAGGAGGAATCATTTCCTTCAGTTGTGCACTCACTGCTGATCCCACCAGGCTCCAGAGTATAGTT